CCAAAATGTCAGAAAGAATTCAAAGATTTAGTTAAAGTTTCATGGTTCTTGAAACCAGATGACACTGTCTCTACAGAAGGATTGGAATTCTTTGTTCTTTTTGAGAAGGGTAAGTAAATAGCTACTATAATACATTCTTTCAACTTTCAGAATTTGGCTGTACTCGGCCATCTCCCCTGCCACCCTCCACTCAAAGGACTTTGAGATTGTGCTATTGAGACTGACACTGTGTTTTATTCACCATTGAATCTGTAGTAGCTAAAACTCCTCCACAAAATTGCACATAGTTCAGTCCGATAGGTGAATGGATACACTATTATTTCTCAGCCTAGATGATCTTTTCCTGACTTTCATTCAAAGCCATCCTGCCCTTTCTCCAACTGCCCCAACTCATCTCCTTAGAAACAGGTTCTTCTTGCTCTGGTGCTCTCACAGCACTGGGCTCATATTTCTTCCTGAGCACTCAGTGCACCTTTTTATGATTTCCCTGCACCTGTCTCCCTTCATTTCCATCAGATTATGAGCTCTTAAAAAGATGGGCACCGGCTCTTATTCATGTTAACTCCCCAATAAACAACAAGGAACAACAGCAGCAAGTCAACTTTCAGGAAACCATAATCAAATAAACTAACTCCCTTTGTGAAATAGAAGCCCTCCCTTTCAGTTCTTGGGGACCTACAATGGGCTACTGTTCTATTTTGGCTCATGGTAAATGCTTCAGGGCCTTGAAGAGAAGCCCACACATTGGCGTGTTCTGAGGGAATCCACCAAGGAAGTAGAAGCAACAATAATCACAACAAGTTAAATTTTTAGCAAAATGTTCTCCGTGTCTTTTTGACAGTGAGTCTCCCTGAATTGCCACCCATTCTTAAGCAGCCTCAGATTTGGAATCTGGTCAGTAGTTCAGAGCACAGATGCTGGAGCCAGACTGTCTGGGATTGAACCTCATCTCTACCACTTCTTAGCTGTGTGCTTAATCTCTTTGTGCCCCACCGTCTTCATTCATAAATGGGATGATCATGACAGTGCCTACCTCCTAAGGGTGTTGTGAGGGTTAAACAAATAATTAAGTAATAAGTGCTTAGAACAATGTCTGGCATGTAGTAAGCACTAAGTTAAATACTGAACATTCTTGTTGACAATTTACCCTTTTTAAAATATAAGAATGGAAAAGAGGGGACTTCCGGTCTGGATGAGATGGCATAGAAAACAAGCAAAGGACATGAAGAGACATTTTGCGGAAAAGAGGATATAGATGGCCAATGAGTACATGAAAACATGTTTGACATTATTAGCCATCAAGGAAATGCAAATGAAGAACTCAGTGAGATATCACTTTACACCTGTCAGAATGAATAAAGTAAAAAATAGAAATGAACAGTAACCTGACTGTGGTGTTGGATACATGAACCCACACAGATGATAAAATTATATGGATCTCAACACACACACACACACACACACACACACACACACACATACAAAACTGAAGAATCTGAAGATAGGTGGAATGTACCAATATCAATACCCTGGTCTAGATATTGTGATATTGTGCTATAGTTTTACAAAGTGTCACCTTTGGGGAAAACTGAGGGTGAGAAACAAGGCATGTATATCTGTACTATCTCTTACAACTGCACGCGAATCTTCACATGCAGGTACAATTTTGATAAAAGTGTCACCTAAAATAAAAGAGGAAAAGACAACTATTCACCTTACATCTTATGTTAGTAGGTACTTAAAAGCATTCGACAATTAATATCAGAAAGATTAAAAATGCGTTCTATATTTTTATTTCTGTGAGATGACAATACATGACATCAGATTTTCTCATAGATTAAGTAGTACCCTGTTATCAAGAGGTAAAATGTGTTCAGAGTTGCCCGGAACAAAGGCATAGCCATTTATTTACCAAAAGATACTGATCTGAAACAGTTAACTTTCCTCTCTGGCAGGCTGCTGGAGAAAATCAGAGATCCAGCAAGATTTCTGGGATAAAACCAGCCTGCAAATATTCAGTGTACTCCCCCCACCCCCCCGTCTCTCTCTCTCTTTCTCTCTCTCTCTATCCAGATTGAGAAGCTGGAGCCCCATCACTCATTGACATGGAGACTGTCCTAGATTGACTATGGAAGGCAGATCTCTCTAGTGGATATTTTATAGATTATTGACAAATAAATTGTCTGGCAATGTTCAACACTATAATCATTCTTATTCATAAAGATGGGATATTTGTGATTAAAATGAAAACATATATTCATTTAAAGCTAGTTGCCACTAGGCATCCATCAGGAATGAAGCCAGAAGTCAATTCGGCCGTACAGCCGAGGGCTTTTGGATGTACAAATCATGTCGCGGACACAATGGCTCCTTGTACTTACACGGGGAGCGCTGTAGGCCAAGGGGCTATGACTTCAACACTGCACATATGTGGTTGTTATTTAGAACTCTCCAAGGTATAGACTTACATTACCATCTGCCATCTCAGTTGCCGTTTACGTCTGCCTTAAAGGGGGGAGGGGCCTAGTCAATCACGTTATGTGTAGAAATCCATCGGAAAAATCAGCACGCTGAACTTGGGGGAGGTAGACGTGTCTATCCAAAGGGGAAACAAGGAATTCGTACTATTCTTTCTTTGAAAATGTTTCTTTCAAGCTGTGAAAAATTAAGTGACAAAAGGGTTTTTTTAAGTTCTACAATATCCTAACACAGTTAGGCTACAATATCCTAACACAGTTAAGCTTCTCCAAGAAGCCTCAGAAAAATCTCAACTCTATAGGTTTTTAGCTTAATTTAATGATGAATTAGACTTCCTAAAAATCAATGTGTTGTGAGGCTTTCAACCTCTGTAAAGAGGTTGAAAAGACAAACTACAAACTAAAAGAATATATTTGCAAACCATATCTCCGATACAAGACTAATATCTGGAATATCTAATGTTTAATTTTAAAGAACTTTTACAACTCAACAGTGAGAAAAATCAACCCAATTAGAAAATGGGCAAAAACGTGAAGTAACATTTCGCCAAAGGAAATACACAGATGACAAATAAGCACATGAAAATATGTTTAACATCGTTAGTCATCCACAGAATGCAAATTAAAACCACAGTGATATTATGACTGTACCTACCCATGAGAATGACTTTAAAAAAATTAGTGGCAACACAAAATGCTGGTGAAGATACAGAGAAACTGCATTATTCATACATGGCTGGTGGGAATGGGAAATGGCACAGTCACTTTGGTGGCGTTGTAACATTAAACATGCCATTGTCTGCAATTGCACTTCTGGGCATTTATCCCAGAGAAATTACAAATTATGTTCACATAAAAGCCTCTACACGAATGTTCATAGCAGCTTTACTTGTAATAACCAAACATTGGGAACAACACAGATGCTTTTCAACAGGTGAATGGTTAAACAAACTGAGGTACCTACTGTGGAATACTACTCAGCAATAAAAAAGCGTGAGTTATTGGTGCATGCAGTAACCTGGGTGGATCTCCAGGGAATGATGCTGAGTGAAAGAAAGGCAAATCCACAGGTTACATACTGTATGATTCCATTTTTATAACATTTTTGAAATGGCAAAATTATAGAAATGGAGAACAGACAGATTAGTGGTGGCCAGGAGTTAAAAAGTTGGTGGGAACCGGGGGGTAAGAATGGAGGGAGGTGTGTGTGACCATATGAGGACAGGAAAGGGGGTCTTGTAGTGATTGAAGTGTTCAGTATATGGCTGTATCAATATCAATATCAACATACTGGTCTTGATAATGTGGGCTAGTTTTACAAGAGATTACCTTTGGAGGTAACTGCTTAAAGAGTACAGGGAATCTCTATATATTATTCCTTACTACTGTATGTGAATCTAAAATTTTTCTCCAAAAAAATTTAATTTTTTTTAAAAAGTTAGGGGTTTAGGAAGAAAGTATGTCTTTTCCACTCAAGTTTGGAATGAAGATGCTCCTAACTCATCGGCCAGCAAGGCTGTTGCTAAGAAGATGAAGCAGGCAGTTTGGAACAGAGAGCGGGGTTCCAGGCACTGCCCCTCAGCATCCAGGGGTGTCCCTTCCTAGCCAGAGCATTACTTCTCAGCAGCCCCTATCTCTTTCCAGGAGGTCCCCAAATGGAACAGACAAGGAAGTCTACTCCCTGATGATTTTTCACCATGGCCTCTGAAGAAATTCTAACCCTAGGAGTCAACCTCAGGAAGAATTTACTATAGTTTCAGCCCTGTCACTGGGGGTGCTGGCAAGTGGGAATAGACCTGTTACCAGTCACTAGCAGGTAGCTGAAGCCAGTGAAGGGCTCCCTGGGACCTGCACTGCCTGCAACCTCAGGAAAGAAAGGAGACGATGTGGGCAATGGCTCACATGGCCCATGGCTCTTCTGTGAGAATACATCCCTGGGCACCACTGGGTGGTCTCTTGGCTGCTGTCAGGGGTCTCAAGCCCTTCCAGGCTGTGCTGAGCTTTACCTGACCTCCCACACTGACCTTCTGCTTCGAATGCCTGGACCGATGACTGCCAACTGCTGTTCCTCCAAGCCGCACACTGAGCTCACAGTGAGCTCTCCTCACAGTGAGCTAACCCGCAACATAGACCCTTCCCCTCCACCTGACAGCATGCCACACCCCTGCCTTGCTGAGAAAACTTTGGCCCAAGTCTTTTAGGGAGTGCCTGCTTATTCTTAATATTGGAACATGTGGTTTAGTTCCTTCGAAGGAGCATATATTTCCTGCCTCCATACCCAATCCATATCATCAGGGGCTGCTTCCTTCTGCTATGTGCTGTTTGAAAGTGGTTAAAAGCATGGTCTTTACCATTCAATTACCCAGTTCAAAGCCCAGCCTTACCATTTGCTAGTGGTGAGACGTGGCAGGTGATTGGGCAACTCTGGCTCCAGCTTCCTCATCACTAAAATGGGATCGTGGCGGTAGGTCATCTCACAAGGTTGGCATGGGGATTAGATGAGTTGATAGGAGACTCTACAAGATTGCCTGGTCTATAGGTAGCCTTATGTAAATGTTAGCAACTGTACTGTTACTTCTCACCATGGTAGCACCCTGAAAGGCAGCAATGGTGAGTGAAATTACTCTGCATTAAATTCTAATAGATTTGAAGGTCGAAATTAGCTGGGTCAAAAATCCCCTCTTGGGCAAGTCACTTAAGCTCTCTGTGCCTCAGTTTTCATGTTTGCAAAATCAGACTGAAAAAGGACCTATTGCACAGGCCTGCCATGGAGATCCAAAGATGTAGCTGGCTCATGTGGATTTTTCTGGCTTGCACACTAGGAGCTCAAAGTGTGAGTCTGTATATTGTATTTTGCAATGTACAGTCACTGCAGTGGAGAGAAGTGATGGTGAGGTGAGTCCTCTATCCTTCTCCATCCCCCTTGCCCTGGCGCCTGTGAAACGGAGCATCCCCATGGCAACAGCAGCAGCTGGTCCCTAGATAAGAGGAGCTGGAGCCGGCCAGCAGCAGCCACTGCTCAGAGCAGCCAGGCCCAGCTTCGGTGAGCAAACGCGCCCTCCTTGTCTCTCGCCTTCTCTTCCCAGCGCCTGCACTGATTGGTAAGTGCTTTGGATTTTTACTCCAAGAACTTTTGTGGCAAGAAAAGCAAGTTTCTAATAAGTTACAACTTCTTTGTGGCTGCTGGGACAAAAAAGGCTATCGCTGGTGGCAGGGGGCTTGTGCTTTATGGAACAAGGCTGAGCTGGGGCAAGGTGGGGAGCAGAGAAAGTCACCACTTGCAAGTTATTTTTCCAAAGGATGTGTGGTGCTGAGTTCTGTAAAAAACCCTGAATCCTCATGAACTGAATTGCAAAGTTTTAAGATGAACGTTGGTGTATCTGCATGTTCACACGGGAGGGAGAGGTTTATCTTACAAGGCTGGGGAAAGGGCACTTCTCAAAAAACATCTCCGTGCCCTACTTCAAGTCAGAGCCACTCCTCCAGGAATACTGCCAATTTAGGTCTTCTTAATGAACAAATTTAATTTTACAATGTGGTACTTTTTGATCTGAATTCAATCCTCAGGTTTAAAAGAGGTTTGACAAAGGATCTGTACTTTACACAGCCAGAGGGTGCAGTAACCAGACACCACATGGGCCGTGGACATAACTTTCTCCCTTTTTATCCCATCATGTAAATCTAGACCTGATTACTTTGTGGATATTCTTTAGATTATCGTAGAGCTAAGCTAAGTGTCAACTCGCTCCTAAAAATCTATATTATCATGTTCCCGAGACCCAGAAAGGGGTATTCTGCAGTTGGTTTGTGCGTAGGACTGTTGTCATCTCATTACCAGCTTCAGAGAAGGCCAAAAACAGGATTAGGAGATTATTGTGACGGATCAATTTGAACATACATATTAAAATCACAAGGGGAGGACTGAAAGATCAAAGGCAGCCACTCACTCATTAAAAGGTTAGCATGCAGGACCTGGGCTGGGTGCTTTGCACACATTGTAGTGTTAATACTCTCCACAACCCTGAAGAAGAGCCACTATCATCCCCATCTCACATATGGGAAAACTAAGTTTCCAAGAGGACACATAACTTTCCCAAGTTCAACCAGCAACCAAACCATTGCTTCTACCTCATATTGCCTCCCAGCATCAAATGCTTACAGACATGAGAAATTTTCTGTCCACGAGTTAAAATACATATTCTCACATCCGGATGAAATACCTACTCGGTGTTAAGAGAAAAGAAAAAATGCCCAGACCACCTTCTGACCACAGACAGAGCCCATAGGTCTTTGTTCAGCAGCAGAGACAGCATTACTATCCTCCTGAAATGGGAGCGAGGTCTGAGCCAGTAGAGGCCGGCCTCCATAAGACGTATCCTCAGTGTCCCCAAGCTTCCCTGATGTGCCTGCCCTTCTGCAACTTCGTGGGGTTCCTTCCCTGGCACCCAGTTCCTTGGCCCTTTCGGTTCCTGTTCTCAAAAGAGAAGGTGACTTCTGTCATTAGCAGTCCCTGTGTACTGTGATATCAGTTTATATATCTCCTCTTTCCCCAGTACTTGCATTTACAGTGTCTCTCTGTGAAAAGGAAAGCTTGGTTCTTTGTGAAAAGGAAGATAAAGATTAGTAAGAAGAAGTTGCAAGAGTTTAAAATATGGGGTCCTGAAAACCTCCCTCAGACCCTGCAATTATATTCCTTGGTCTTTTCCATGCCACACAGACTACCTACATTCTGTCAGAGAGCAACAACTGGAAAAATAATGCAGATTCACAATCCTTTATTCTCTAAACGAGAAATCTAAAAAATTCTGAAAACCAAAAGCTTTGCTGTTGTTGTTATTGTTGTTAGCTTCAATGCAAACTCATTTGGTAGCAAAACCTGACCTGAAAGGGTATGAATCTTTTTGTAGTCTGTCTTTGTGTCATTTAGTGTAAATATTCATAGTTTTGCGGCAGGAAAAAAAAATGCATGTGATTGCTGATACTCCCCGAGCCCCTCTCGGAGTGTTACATAATAAAAATGTCCTGATTTCCACAGCACATTGGGCCCCAGGCTTATCATGAGGGGCCAATATTGATGATCACGGCAGCAATCCAAGTCCTCGTATAAGTGTTAGACTGCAGAGCCCACAGTGAACCAATAAGTGACAAGAGAATGTTAAAGGGTCACAAATCTTTATATTAGAGGCAGTTTAGGAAATACCCCCAAATGTAAAGTATCAGTCAACAAACATCTCTGAACATCCATCCTAGGTTGAAATTTGAAGACCCAGAGAACCCACTGTTTAGGTATGAAAGAAAGAGCTGGTGCCTTAGAAAGTTACCAAATTACAGGGAGCTGCTAAGAAAGATTATGAAATTTTCCCTGGGCAGCATGACAAGAGCAGGGTCCCTTTATGACACCTGCTCAGGGTAGAGACAATTAAAGAGAAGAAGGCATGAGCAGGATCAGGAATAGGAAATGGAAATATCCCACTTCTTATTTCAGGAATTAGACCGGCTCATGTCTTACAGTGGTTCATTCTGAAAGAACACCCCTTACCACTGAGAATAGAAATGGAGATACGGTGGGGGCACCACAGAGATGTGAGCCTCTGCACATTTATCATAGCAGCGATAGCTTGTGGGGAGAGAGGGCAAAAATGATTATATCGTACTTGGGCTCCACTTGTCCTCACTATGTCCTTTAAGATTTAGCAACTTCATCAAAGTCATATGGCTTCTTAGTTAAAAAACTGAGATTTAATCTGAATCTGTTTGACTTGAGAGCTCAGGTTCAAATTAAATAACCAGCTCTTAGGCACATAGGAGCAGCCATAGGATCCAAGTACAAAGAGAAGCTGACCTCACAGGGGCTGGGGAGAAGGAGGGGAAACTGTTGCCAGGCAGGACTTAGTGTAGATCGTAGGGGCTCCTGTTCCAACAATGCCTCTGACCCCGAGTACACAGCTCATGATAGGTCATTGTAACCTTTTGAGCCCTAGTTTTTTCTTCTGGCGAATAAATATTTTCACCAGATATTTTCTGCGAAGGTGATTTTCAGCACAACATCTGTGAGTAGGCTCATGACTCTGCTTGAAGAGGAAGAAAATTGGTTAAATAAATTCATAAGACCACATTTGAGGCTGTAACTTTGCCTTGAGACCTCAGCATTGAGCCCACTGGCCCCTAGTGATGTTCCCACAGCTGTCCTCCGCACTCAAGCTTGTGGGGGCTGGCCTGGCCAAAGCTAACAGCATACTTCCTTACGGTCCCAGGGAGTGGGCACGCTCTATACATACGCTAAAAACAGTGGTCTGAATTGATTTCTGCTGAAGTCACTCAGTACAATCAGTCTGCTCAGAGTGACACTAAAAGCCATACTCAAGTGATCAGTTAATGGCTCCATCTGCTATGCAATGATCTCAGCTTATAGGGAGAGAGAGTTTCCAGGCTTTCTGGGGAAAACCGGCTTATTCCTCAGAACACAGCTGAGTTGAACTCATTCTAGGAAGTTGAAATGTTAGCACAACTGATCCGTGTGTTCGGTCAAGGAATCTCAAAAGAAGAGGATCAGTTGGGTCATTTTAAGCTTCTTCATTCCTCCCTTACCAGCTTTGCTATGGTTGGTTATGAGTAATAAATTATCCAAAAGGAACTCAAGAGGCAGAGTCTAGGCAGGCACTAATGAAGATTTTCTATAAATCTCAGCTAATGCATTTCTCATTCAGACCTGACATGTGTCCATTCTGGATGTCCACTCCTCCTGGCAATGGCTATAACTAATAGCTCTGGAAAGTTCAGTGGATTTGTGGTCCAGGAAAGATGGGGGGTGGGGACGGGGAACAGCTTTGCTCTCATGTCAGGAATCCTTAGGGGGAAAATAAAGATGCATTCAAGACCTAGATTTTCTCCTACCACATCTCTGCCGCCATCATGATATGAACAGGGAGGCAACCATGTTACTTTATAGTTGCAGAATGTCAGGGTAGAAAATGAGAAGTCTGATTCAATTTGGGTTCAAAGGATTCACTTTGTTTTTAAGAGACTTGATTGTACAGTGGAAGTCTGCAGAAATGGATCCAGATCTAGGCTGGGCTATTTAATAGACATGTGACTAAATAAATTAATTAAACTTTCTGAGCCTCAGTTTCCTCATCTGTGAAGTATACATAATCCTATTTTGTAGAACAGAGAAAATGTAGGCAAGGTTCTGTGACTCTCTACTAACTCATTTCTCATTCAGACTTGGCAAGTGTTCATTCTGAAACTCCCAAAGAGCCTCTGAGAGAGAGCAAATTTTGAACATTTGATACATGACAATTACCAGTAAATCTGTGTGTGTGTGTGTGTGTGTGTGTGTGTGTGTGTGTGTGTGTGTGTGTGTGATTCATTTTATCTTGGCTTAAATCTCAAGTAGAGAGCTTCTAGTAACTAAGTATAAGAAGCAGACTTGAAAAACCAGAACTGAATTGGGAACATAATAGAAAGTGCTCAGAAATATAGTTATTTAATAAATGAATGAATGAACAGAAGGCATACTCTGGACTGTTTCTTATACTTCTGTAGTGCTGGAGGAGAAATACACACACACCCTCTTCTTTGATGATGTCCACTCAGCGAATGCAGCCACTGGAGCTCTCAGAAGACAGGCTGGACAAGCTAGATCCTCGCTGCAGCCACTTAGGTAAACGCTGTGTTGTGAATGTCAGTTGTGGAAATCAGAAAGGGGGAGTCTCTGCTATTTGGTTTGTGGGCTAGTCTGAGAGAGGCCTCCCGAAGCCCGATAGTTTGTGCCTTCTGGTCACAGCCAACGCCAGATGGGTGGGCAAATAGCCATGGGTCTGTGGGGTCTGCCATGTAAATATTAGCTGAAGCACTAGAAGGAAGTTCATTAGAGAGAGAGAATGAGAGAGAGAGAGAGAGAGAGAGAGAGAGAAGGCATTGTCCTTTTTTGGGGGTCTGCCAGAGTCCCGGACAGAGCATTTTTGAGACAATAAATGGAATGTGGCGGTCTAGCTTGTTTCCAGTATTTCCTGACACACTTACACCCCATGTGTAGAGCCAATAAAATATTTCAAATATCTCTCTTTGCCTATCAAGACAGAATTTTAAATAGCCTTTTTCTGCTTTATTGTCAATCTGTTTCCTTTCCAGAACTGACTTTTTACATAACCTTTGTAATGAAAATACCAGAAACATTTCTGCCTCTACCCATTTCTAAAAATGAGACACTCAGACTTTTGATGGATGGGCCTTTTGCATATTCATAGCCTTTGTCTATGCCTCGCCTGGTTATGACTCCCCCCCCTGCTCCCCTCTCCCCATTTGCCATAAAGATATTTTATGTTGAGGATTTCTCCAAAAATGGGGAAAAGTGCAAAGGAAAAAAAAAAAAGTCAAAATTGAAGCAAATGTCTTACTCTCTGCACTGAGCACAGAGGAGCGTCCTGGGGTTGAACAGTGGCCCTGTGGCAGGTCTGTATCCAGCCATTACCTCTAGAGACCTGCAGCAGGCAGCACCCATTCTGAGCAACATTCATTCATTCATTCATTCATTCAACAAATGACTGTGCTATGTATCATGGGGATGGGGATTGACTGTGCTATGTAGTAACACATTTGAAAAATTGCTTTTTCAGCCAGATATTACAATACATAGTCCCAATAGTCAGATCAACCTGACTCCACAAACATGCATTTGTGAAAGGGAGAGGCAATTAAGAACAAAATTACAAAAAGGATATAATCCTTAATCTCTAGGAAGTCTCTGTCTGGAATAGGAGATACAGCATTATAGAACAATGAACTAGTGTAGAACAATGACAGAGGAGCCCAAAGGAGAGCAACATCAACAAAAGCACTGGGAAGTAAGATGGGGCAGAGGGAAGATTTTAATGGGCAAGGAGTGATCAGATTGGATTTATTACATACAACAACCTCTGATGGACTTGACGTAAAAGGCAGGCTTCAAAAGCCCTGGTGTGTCGATGCAGAGGATTGAGAAAAGTAAAATGATGAGTAAGAAGACGGTGGGACCCTAAGACAGGATGAGCAAATAGGAAGAGTTACAGAGCCAGGGGGGAGGGAAGGGACAAACACTGAAGCCTGAGTGTGAATCATTAGGATGACTGGTTGGCCATAGAAATGAAGGCAAGTGAGGCATTTACTGAGAACCTTGGGGAAACTTGCCAAGTCTAAGGGAGACTACGCTTCCATCCTGGCCCTTGGGGTGTCCAATGAGAACATGCCTTGAGCAAAGGAAATTGAGGAGCATTTAGCACAGAGAATCTCTTCTCCTGTACGAAATTTAATTCCAATCCACTCTCTGTCCTGAAGACGTTTTTAAGTTCTTCTTGGCCTTGATGGTTCATCCATTTGAGTTCTCTTAATTTAGAGTTTTGCAGAATTCCAATTTTCCATTTTATTATATGAATTCATGCAAGGCCACTAAAGTCCCCTGTGGAGGAGGCTAACATGAATAAACACTTTTCTTTTTCAGACCAAATGCCCTCTGCCCCTATCCCCAGGTGTAATTGGAAGCCAACCAGGTTGTGACTGGCCCCTTACTCCTGTTTTATTCTTTTCTCTTTGTACCCTACCAAAACCAGATGATCTTTCAGACCAGTTCATTAAGGACTGTGAGCTCAAAAAGAAGCCAAGGAAGGGGAAAAATGCACAGGCCACCCTGAATGTTGAGTCAGACCAAAAAAAACCAAGGAGGAAAGATACACCGGCACTGCACATCCCACCTTTCATACCAGGTAATGGACAACGAGGTCAGTTTGCACAGCTGCAGAGGGGGGTCCCTTGCCACCAGGTCACATCAGGCTTGCAAATCTTTCCTTAAGTGCCTGGCTATGTTTTTAATAATGGGTACATTAGCTACAATACGGCAAGCTGCTCTAACAGATAAATTTTAAAACATTAGTGGCTTCATACCGTACGAGTTTATTTTTTTACTCAGCAATAGTGGAAGTCGGGGCTGGGGGAGCCAAGCTCTGCTCCAGACAGTCATTCAGGGACCCAGGCTGATGGGTTTTCACATCTTCAATACACGATGAGCAAAGTGACCAGGAGCTTCCCAAGTCACCATGAGTATCACTATCCGGCAGGCATGGGGGTAGACAGAGAGGAGGATTGACAAGAGACATCTGTGTGACCCAAGCTTCCACCCATCAGAGGCCTCGCCTGACAGCAAGGGAGGCCAGGAAATTTGTCTGAATTCTAGGCCCAGGAGAAACGCAAAACAGTTTGGTGAACAGCTAGCCTGTCTCTACAACACCCTGGATGGGATGCGGGACACTCTCTTATTCTCTAAAGTTTTTGTCTTGTTTTGCTTCCTCTTCTCCTTCCCCCTCGGTCATTTATTTGCCGTCTTCTCTATTCTCACTGCAGTTGAGTGATACCAAACAAATAAAACCCTCATCTTGCTGGGAAGGAACTTTCGGTTTTCTGAAAAATAATAGTAGCACGTAAATAGCTGAAATGTGCAGTAAGAAGTGATGTCATAATGAGGCCCTTAAAAGGACCGTGGGAGTTCGGTCTGGGTAGCGAGCTGTAGAACGTTTTATAGAAGAGAGTTATTAAATGATGGAGAAAAGTTTCACCTGTAGACTAGAGGTGAGAAGGCAGGAGGGTGGAGGTGGAGCGATAATTAAGGTATTGGGCCGGAAGTGGGCAGCACACAGCTTGCAGAAGAGCAAGCTCTCCGCTCTGGCTGAAGAGGGTGGACTTTGGGGGCAGAGCCTGGGCTACACACCTGTCTGCCACCTGTGAGCTGTAATAACTTGGGCACAGATCTTTGCCTCACTTTCCTCAGATAGGTGATGGTGGCCATAATCTTAAATTCCTCAGGGTTTTGTGAGGCTACAATGATACCAGGCATCCTTTGTATAGAGGTTGTTCCTAGTATAGCCTAAATAAATACTAAGTCTTATTATAAAGAAACTTCCTTTATTAAAATAAGTTTGAAAAGCTATATTGACTACTTCACCAGGTGTGTAAATGTGCACGGTCCTAATAGGTGCACATTTATGTATGTGTACTTGACTCTGTTTCTCTCTCTGTTCCCTTAACCACGCAGGTGTGCTTTCAGAACACGTCATTAAAAGATACGATGTGCAAGAGAGACAACCAAAGGGCAAAATGAGCCCAGCTCTTCATAACACTGACCTGGAACAGAAAAAGCCAAGGAGAAAAGACACACCTGCCCTGCACGTGTCCCCCTTTGCAGCAGGTAAAAGAGCTGGTGCAGGGCATTTGCAAGGGGCGAGGGGACAGGTCACAGCCTTACCATCTGGAGGTGCCAGGAGCATGGCCTTTGTCCTGGCCCGACAAGCTGTGCTGTGCTCAAGTGCTCTGGGGATGAGCCGGACTCACTGCTGCCTTTCGGGTTCATCTTCACTGGCAGGTCCCCAGGGGCTGATCTGGAGCCGGGGAGGGTCGGAGCATTACTCATGCTTCAGCAGAGCTGGTCAGAATCACTGAGCCAACGGAATAGAAATGTCAGTGGATCCTTGAGAGGAGCTGGAGTGCCCTCCTCCCCAGTCCCCCATGCGTCATGCATCCTAAGGCTGGTGGCTGATGCTCCCAAAACACCTGGACTAATTGGCCAAATCCTCAAAAGGGGAGAGAGAAAGAGAGATGCAGAAATAATGAGAGCTATTATATCTCAATATGTGTCAAATTCAACCCAGAAGTCTTACTGATCTATGTGCATAACTCCAGGCTGTAAGGAATCTACTCTGTGAGATGTAGTCCTTGTCCCTGAAAATTTTATGTGCAAGGAGAATAAGACATGTACATTCATGACTAGAGTGTGAGACTGTGTGTGTGTGATATGCTTTATGCAGATAGTTGTGGCAAGACAGTAACAGAGGGGAAAATGTACTAATATTTATAGAGATCATACTAAATGTTAGGTACTAAGTTTGGCATGTTTCAGGGATTTCTAAAAATAAATTGACTAATATAATAGAATAGCTATTACCTCCTTTGACAGATAAAGAAACTGAGGAAGAAATATTAACGTATTCGGCCACTTTAGAATCGTACATGGACGAAACTGATAGATAGTTGTCTGACTGGCAGAGTGGTTGGCTCAATGATGAGATGATTAGATGGATAAATGAATGGATCCATTGTGATCAATATCAAACACTGTTACGTGGCAAAGCCAGGGCTCAAATTCAGGTCTGTCCCACCTTTGTCAGTTTTTCCGCTATGGTGTGGTTTGGACATTAGCATTATAGGAATCCAGAAGGAACACTTTTGAGAGAAGATGAAGTTTGGTTGTTTCTATAAAACTATGTTTCCCCATTATTTATTGTAATAAAGAAAAAAATCAAAAACAGCTCAGAAGAAGACATCATGACAAAATGGTCAGAGGCTTGTCCCCAGCCATGTTAGAGGATGTGGTTCTAAGTTCCATGGGGTTTGTGTCCTCTGCACTCTGTCTTTCTTCCTCTCTTCCCACCTCCTCTTGCCTCTATCCATCCCTTTGTCTTCACCACTTGCCAGTATACCAAGATTAAGGGTAGGTATGCAACCCACCTGGTCAGGCAAGTGATAACCCTTTCTCACTTTCTCTCTATCTGTCTCTCTCTGCTTAGGAGATACAGGAGTCTAATCCTCAAACTGTCATCATTCTTTTTTTTTAAGACAGGATCTCACTCTGTTGTTCAGGCTGGAGTGTTACAGTGGCACAATCATAGCTCACTGTAGCCTTGAACTGCTGTGCTCAAGAAATCCTCCTGTCTCAGCCTCCCATTTAGCTAGGACTACAGGCATGCCCCACCATGCCCAGATACTTTTTTTAATTTTTTGTAGAGGTGGGCTCTTGCTATATTGCTCAGGCTGGTTCCGAACTCCTGGTCTCAAGCAATTCTTCCAAATATTCTATTTGGCAATCACAGTTTTGCAGTATCTGATGGAGACTAATTATTTTCTGCCCATTCTTGTATCTATTTTCATTGAAGACTTTATAAAGAAGACTTGGTAGAGGGACAAAAAGTATTTATGTGTAAGGAGTCATCCTAGTAGACAAAACTGAACATGGGCTTTGGAATCAGAAAGGTCTAGGTTTTGTCTCTGGTTTTGCTCCCCACTAACTTTGTGATCCTGGGCAATCAATATAAACTATAAAGGTCTCCTTTATTTTACCTGTGTTTACTGTGTTTCATAAGCGATTTATGCAAAAGCCTTAGTTTCAGCCAGACTCTTGAAATTGTTTTTCTCCTCCAATAAATATCAGCTAATTGGTAAAGAACCCATACGAACAAACTAGAAACTGAATCAAATGAATAGTCATTAGGATCAGCACGTAGTTCATTAATTTGCTGCTGTTGAATGGAGTCCAGCGTTATAGAAAGTCTTCGTGTGGTGCACAGCTTCTCTCTCTCAAGTTTAGATCTTTCTGAAATGCTTCATGGACTGAAAAGTCTCTAACTGGGAGAACAGGGAGGGAAGCCGTGCTAGGCAGTGGTGGGGAAAAGACTCCGTATGGCTGGAGTGGGATGACAGGAACCATGAGGACTGCCCTTAAATCACAGCTTCCTTTGTCCTTTTATCAAAATGACTCTCCTCTACACTTCACAGAATGAGCAGAACCACCCAGACCTCCTTGGCTGGCCTTTTCTGTTCTCACTTAACTAGCCTGGATCCACCCAACCGTCTGCAAAGAACAAAGTAATGTCGCCCGATAACGAGCACCAAGGTGCGCCAGCTTAGTCTTTGCTAGTACAGCAAACCATACAGCACAAATTTGAAACGAGACCCAGCAAACACAAGCAAAAGCTCTCTCCCAAGACCTGCACACAGTGGGGCGCATGCACTCAAGGGGTCTTCACCACCATTACAAATTGACTCGTAGAAGGCACCTGGAACAGCAAGGACGATTTGGTCCTGAATCTCAGCAGAACTGTTCTTTACCCAGCTGTTAACGACATTCAGGCAAGGCTCTACCCCACCAACTCCCGCCCAGCCCCTCTGAGCTACGGGCAGCACTGCACCCAACCGCCAAGTGACTCAAGCGCGTAATTACAGCTCAAGGCTTCCCAGCCTGGCTGTAGCAGCGGCTATAATTCAACACACTGGAGATGAATCAAAATACAAGAGAGGTTCTTCCTGACTTGAAAGAGACGGAGACCGACGAGGCGGGGGGCGGGCAGGGGGCGCATGGCAATATAATTTAACTTGCACCTTAATATGCTGAAATGAAAAAAAAAAAGAGATCGACAAAAGATAACTCACCCATCAATAATTAAGACACCTAAGCATGCAATAACACTAATAAAGCATATAAACCTAATAAATTTCCCAAAATGGCTATAAATTGAATCATTTTTACAAGTTCACAAACCACATTTTGGGTTTCTTGTCATTTGTAGTCTCCAAATATCAGGAGCGGGCTTTTTCTCCTCATGCTACGCAACCGCCGAGTGAGCACACACGGCTCCATACCGGCACTTAGCAGCAGAGCTGCAATGCGAGCAACGCGCCCGCCCCACCTCTTATACGAAACGCCACCCGGGTCTGTGAGTCTCATCCTTTCCGCCATGGCATCTTAAGCTATGACACCAGACCTCAGGTGGTAGCGCAGCGCACTTCCTTGCCTGCCCTCCGACCCATTTGTCCTCGCCGGAGGATTATGAACAGAATGGGGCGGTGGAAGGCAGAGCCAGTGTGCTGTGCGATGCTTCAGCTGTAGCATCAGTCTTGGCAGAGTTCAGGAACTGGTCTGCAATTCAGGCCAAGGAGGCAACCTTAGCTCAACTTGCTTACAACTTTTTTCATGTCATTCATTCATCATTTCACATTCTTACTCCATGATATTTCTTTGACACATTCATCATGGAAAACCATCCCAGTATACGGACCAAGTCAAACCAGATGCACCCTGTGTTCATGTGCCCACAGGAGGAGTTAGATGTTGACAGGTATACAAACGTCCACAAAAAGAGGTAGGAACGCTGGCAAAAAGAAATGTCGGTGGGGCGCGAGTGGCTCGACCAACCTAGCACCCTGAGCGGCCAGGCCGGAGGGGCCGCAAGGCCAGCTGGTCAACACCAGCCGAGCAAGAGTGAGACGTCTACTTTAAAACAAAAACAAACCCACCCCGGGCTCAGGACATGCAATATGGACAGAAATGTCCACCGGAGAACCTTCCCCCGAGGGTGCATCGCGGATGAAGACACGATCACTGGTCAAGGCACGGGGGGTGAGAATGGTGGGGAGAGGAAGGCTCGCAGCGCGAGCCGGCAGGACGGAAGCGGTCTGGGGGCAGGCCCAGCGGCGCAGTAATCCCTCGGCCTATTCTAGCAGAGTCGGAAAAATGCAAGAGGGGACCCACACAGGTCAGAGTTCGTGCCCGGGTAGTCCACTCACAGGCGTAACATGACGAAGTGGAGAAAGACAAACTAAACTCACACCTCCTAAAACATAGGGTCTCAGCCATGCCACCTCTCTGCTTTTCATTCCACATATTATTACACTTATCAAAATAGCAGAAGGGTGGAGAAGACTGTCAGAAAACACATATATCAATGATTCTAATTTCATGGGTCACTGAAAGCCCTCCCTCCTAACTCATCTGATTACCTGCTTATGGAGGGATTTCAGAAAGAGTCTATAAACAGCATGGCGGGCAGAACCTGAGTTCCTGCCTAAGCTTCCTCTCCAACCGTTTCCCCCTGGTACTGAGACTCTGTGCTGCCCTGTAGATCCAAATGAGAAAAATAGGAAAAAGACCTGAATAGAGCACAAGACCAGAACACTGTTTTTTCCTGAAGGGATTAATTAGAGTGATGAAGTAATACATTTAAAGTTACAATATATATAATGATGATTAGAAATTAATGTTCGGATTGTTTCTCCTGGCTCTACACATGAAGACCTAAGACTGCATTACGTGTCAAACCTTCAAAGTAAATAACTGGCATCGAGAATGCAGGCCACCCTCTTTTGCTAAATGAGCAAAAATGCCAGTCCCTGTTTGTTTTCCGCTCAGAGAATCCCTGCAATTTCCTTTGAGGAATCGTCACTACTGGAACACCCGCTACTATAGTAGAAATACCATTTGTTGTCTTCGAAAAAGGTAAGCTGACACTTGAATATTTCCAGGCAAAGCATTCAAATAGGGCATTGTTTCCCATAAGTACACTTACTGGAAGAAACATCTCCTGATTGGGTCACAGAATAGACCATTAAATGTGCAAACCACAGAGATTATAAATTCAACCAGTTCAAAACCAACCCATTCCCAGAGAACCTGAGAAGATACTTCTCGGTTCTCCACTTCCTTAGGCATTCATTCACGCCTGGGAGAGTTTTCGGAGAAAGATTTGCACACTTACAATATAATGGTGAGGACGCTCAGTACACAGAGACAGAGATTCATACAAAATCCATCTGTAACTGGCCCTCTTATTCTCAGCGAAGCAAAAATAATTGCTTTATTAACTTATTTCACAACTTTCATCGCTATGTCAGAGTCTTTCTTGTTTTAAAGAAAACAGCCTGACAACACAAGAAAATTCAAATTGAGTTCATTTAAAAGGAAACACGCTTGAGTCCTTATGGTACACCCTCCACACCTTCCAGCAGACCAGCCTCTGCCTCTCAAAGGCAATTAGGCATTAAAAATTGGCTGGTGGACCAGCCAACAGCTACAGGGTGTCTGGATTAAAGAAAGCCTGTGTGAAGCTTTTGTAAAACAGCTTCAATCCCAGGACTAGGCCTCCTCCTCCAGGTAGCCTGGCGTCTAGGTAGATGGCTTCAGAATGAACAATGGCCATCTGCTTGCCGTTCTTTGGATGCCTTAATTTGAGCTTCTCGTTAAAGGACCGACCACACAATGCCATTCTAATTCTTTAATATGACTATTATTTGTATTGGAGAAACTTGGTTTACAATATGCTGAGAACTGTTGTAATTGCAGGTAATCTTCATTAAACCTCTACTTTACTTGGCCAGAAAAGGCCCACGTGGAAGGACGTGGGAAGGTTGGCTCAACCCAAATCGTCCAGGAACGGCCAGGGTTTTGTTATGTTTTGCTGTTGCGCTCACCATTCGGTTGCTCTTTGGGCCAGTTCTCTATTACAAAGCCCATCTCCCCAGGAAGAGAGGGCTAGCCCTTTCCTTCCTTATTCGGTTGAGGCTTACAGGCGATGGATCTCCTACGTAAAGGTCTTCAGCAACTGTCCAGTTGTTGTCACATAACGCTACCCATTCAGCACCCAGGCAATGGGATATGGGCAATGGAAATACAAGTCCATGCTCTGACGTGTCTTAAAATTCATCCTAAGTTACAGTGTGGATGGGGCTACAAGCCTTCATTCTTAGCTTACAAACCTTTTTGCCATACATTAACATCACTTAATTCTCAAATTACGAAAAAGCAAAGTAAGAATTATCATTCTCATTTTCAAGATAAGAACCAGAACTCAGAGAGTTCCAGAGACTGCTCAGTGTCAACACAGAGCTAAGAACCGCAAAGGCCTTTGTTTCTACAACAGCCCAGTCTACTACTTTTCATCCCACCCCAGGAGAATGGGAAAGCACGATGAGGGGCTTTCTGAGTAGGCCTTGAGTATGAGCAGCTACGCCATGCTGCAAATGTACATCATGTTATAACGGCGAATCCAGGATAAGCATGTTTTCTTGAGTGGAGGATCCGTGGTATTAGATTGATGCTATTTTGTTTGGATATTGTA